TGTTTTTAAATTATGCTTTCTGGTGCATTAAAGTTGCAGGACGCCTGTGGTGAGGCTCTTTAAGTTCCTGGTGTGGGGGTGCTGTGCCTGCTGTTCAGGATTGGGGGAGGCCCTAAAAGAAGAAAGGAGAGAGAGGAAGGGACAAAGCTGGAGAAAGTCACAGAAGCACAGAAAATATGGGAAAGAGAGTATGGGAACAGGTAAGGGGAAGATGGGCAGCTGTAGGGAAGGAAGGGAGCCTGCTCTGTGCACATGGCTGGAGGAAGAGAGACCTGACCCGGGGAAGCTGCTGGCCCACGCAGAGGGCTCTGCGCACGCTGGTCTGCACGCGGCTGGGAATCCCGGGTGGTGGCAGGGGTATCAGCACCAAGTCTCCTCCTGTGCTCCATCACAGCCTTGAACATGTGACTCTGCATGTTAGTCTTCTCAGAGCACATCCAGGTGAATTAGTGCCCTGAGAAGTGGTGGGTGTTCTGGAGAGCACTGGGCTGGGGGTTGGGGATGGGGGTTTGAATGGAACAGAAAAAGAACAATGGCAAGTCTCTTCAGGCGCTCCCATCAGGACTCAAGAGTGGTGCTGAGGAGAGCTGGGGCTTTTCATGTACAAGAATCTTCACAAAAATGAACTCTTCTTTTCTAGGGTGATCAATACAGAGACCATACAGCCAGGCGTACTCATAACCTCCAGTTCTGAAAACACATTCCTCCTAGCAGTATCATAATGAACTACCCTCTTGGGTCCTTTTGAGGGAGCACTGCTAAAATCCTAACCGCTGGAGAAGGGAGAAGAAAGGGCGACTTGCGTATGGACTCCCTGCCGAGATGACATGAAGTTTCCTGGTGAGCCTGGCACACGCATGCCACAGTCCAGACTCACAAGAAGCCATAGTCTTCCTGTTCTTTCTGTTCCCCTTGTAATTAGTATCTCTTTCTGAAGGAAGATCCCACTTCTGGATTATGATACAGACTTCACTGACATTTTCCTCACAGTGGCAGCAAAAACTAATTTGCTAGGGAGACAATATGGCCCCTTTCAAAGTCCTGGAGTACTGTTATATTTATTGAGATCTCTTTCCTGGCTGGTGAGACATGAGAACAATCTTCAGCTCCAGTTCAAGAGAGCAAGCCAAACTGTGCTAGCAAAGACAGCCCTTCTCTTCCTAGAGCAGAATTTCCCCAAATGGTGGTCTGTGGGTCGTTGACACTAGAATTACATGGAATGTTGGTTAAAAAAATCAGATTTCTGCATCCCCACTGAGGAACTACTAAATCTCTGTGGATAAGGGGTCAGGACCTAGATTTTAAATAAGCTGAGAGTTTGTAATCATATATATATACTGACATTTGTGACTCAATGCTTGGGGCAGTGGTTCTCAAACTTGAGTGAGCCTCAGAATCACCTGAAAGCCTTGTAAAATACAGATGGCCGGGCCCTGCTTGCAGAGGTTCTGATTCACTAGGTTTGGGGTGGGGCCTGAGAAGCTGCATTTCTAATACGCTCCTGCATGATACAAAATGCTGCTAGTGTGGGGACCCACACTTTGAGAACCACTGGGTTAGAACAATTAAAACAATTTATATTTGTATCAATCAGGTGTAACCTACTTACTGCTCTCGGGAGGCCCTGGGCATCAGCATGGAAGGCAGTGATGGAGGACTTGTTTCTGTCCCTCTGGGAGCTGAACGTCTGGGTGAGCAGCACAGGGCCACCTGGCCTCCCAGCCAGGGCCCGCGGGGGCAAACATGGGTTGGTGTGTGTCTGTCAGATAAGCAGGCCTCGGGGGACAGGCTCTTCAGACTCTCAGGAGCTCAGTTTGGTTTCAGTGATGCTGAAATGGGGTTGTAGGTCTGTTCTAGGGTGAGACATGAAGGACTGGCCAAATCTAGCCAATAGAGCCCAGAACTAAGCTGGAATAACCAGAAACACAAAAGGCAGCAGAGTTCTCATCACCATTTCAGACAGTTGGCATGGTCACATGGCAACAAGCCACCAGGCCTCCTGGCTGAGAGATCAGGGGTCTCAGGCCACAGATGTTCCCTTTCTTCCACCTAGAAAGTGTTTCAGGCTGAGGCCTCTACAGACCGTTGTGGTGGTGTGGTTCAGCGGCTGCCCACAGGGCCTTCAGGTCCCCAGACGCCTGCAGTTACCAATATGGCCACTAGAGGTCTCAGCAGGATAATGATTATCCGAGGATGCAGCACAAAGGACTTGGAAGTAGCCTGGAGTGCCTCCCACAACATCCGCTGGGCCCTCCAGCAAAGGGAAAAGTAAGGTGAGGAGACCACGGTTTCTGCCTGCTTGTCTAGTATCCTCAACGTTACAACTGGCCTGCCTGGCTGCTGAAGGAAGCCACTTTCCTCTTCAAACAGTGATGTAGTGAGCACGGGAGAAGGAAGACACACAGACAATGATGGCTGCCAAGAAGGGGCCTGCAGGCCCTTACCACAATTTCCAACAGTTTCTCCCTCCAAAGGACATGGTGGATTGACATTTTTCAATCTTACGGGAAGTGCCATGCAAATGCAGCTTTAAGAGTCCCCTCACCCAAACCTTCCAGCCAAATTTCCTGCTCCACAGCCCTTATTCCACCAAAATTCTGGAACTGAAATTCTGTCCCACTAATATGTTCTAAGGTCATGCCTTCTTTGCAGTGTTACATTTCATCCAGAGCATTAGAACCTAAAAGTGAACAGGCTATTACCCACCTCTGTGATCTGCCCCACCCCACCATATCCTGCCCTGCTCTTCCCACCCAACTTTGAATCAGTATCAGATACAAGGAAGAGGGCTGCAGACCAGATGGGCTATTTTGGAAAAAGCTGTATGCTAAGCCAAACTTGCTATGTGGAAACCAAAATGGGTCAAACTGTTAAACCAAGTGGTATTTGTTGTTTTATAAAAAAGATTCATCATAAAAATGCCACAGATTTACAATAGAAAAAGAAAGCTCTGTTAAAATGACATTACATATTTGGTTAACATTGGTATGGTATTTCTATAATTTTATGTAAATAAAGGGTGTATCTCAAAACTTTGCTGAAAGCTGGCATGTGTGGGTCTTTTCTCTGGCCTTTTGGCTTTCAATTTATTTTTGGACTGCCTCAGACTTTTCTGGTCCTATAAACTCAGTAAGCAGTACATGGAAAGGAGAAAATGTGTAACCTTTCACATACTGGGTCTGGTGTTCTGGGAAGGAAAGCAGTAGATACCAACCAGATAAACCCAAACTGGAGAACTCAGCCTGTCTGAGATGACCATTCCTGGAGCTCACCACGTCCACATCAGTTTCACAGTTCCGTGTAAAGGAGGCAGTTTACTCACTTCTCATCCGCACCTTCTCCCTCCCTCCCTTGTCCTTCTTCAGTTAGTAATGCAGACTCATAGGGCTCTTATTTGTATAGCTGTCTCTGTTTACACGGCCTGATTGTAACATTACTCATAATCCTAGAGTGGGAAATGAACACTGCTGGGAGGAAACTGCATGAAAAACAGCCTGAGGGTAGGAACAAACTTAGCATCAAGTATGAAATCAGTTGTTCTCAAACTTGTTTTACAGAGGAGGATCCCAAGGTCCAGAAGCCGCAGTAACTTTCCCAAGCTCAACTGGATGTTTAGCAGCAGAGCCAGGACTGGGACCTGTGGTTCTTTTTGGGATGTAGGCCCCTTCACTTTCATTCACTTTTTTTTTTATTCACTTTTAAGAAGTATTAAAAAAAAAAGTTGTGTATGAGGTTCTTTCTCAGAGAGAAATGAGCTGCAACACGCACTGATAAGACACTCCGCTAGAAAGAGGGGACTGAGTTTTAATCCAGGCTTTGCCCCAACTTGGACAAGTTACTTTCCCTTTCGAGGCCTCAGTCATTTTCTGGGAATTAATGGGTTTGGAGCAAGGGACCCAACCCCTCCAGAATTCTGTGTGTGTCTAAATGCCAGGTTGGGGTCTCAACTCGGAGGGGCTAAGAAGTGCTCACTCACATCTCACGGGAGCCCCTTCCACTTAAAAATCTTGTTATCTCTAACAAACTTGGAACGTTGCCTCCTAATTCCCATTCAATACACACGTGACACGTGAGTGCAAATGAGAACCAGAGGCAGTTCCAACCCCAAAAAGGCGGTCAGGTGGGGAAGGCTGTGCAGCAAGGCAGGATCTTTCTGTAAATGTTCCAGGTACACTCTTTGGCACAGATTCCTCCTCCTCAGTTTGTTTATTCTGTAAATCTAATTGCTTACATATTGATTTACTTGAAGTGGAAATATAGTTTATGTAGATTCAAGGAACATCAAAAGGGATTGTGTGTGGGTGTGTGTGTATACCATGAGGGGGCCAATACCACCCACACTTAGCTTAAAAACCATTATCCATCCTCCTTCATAGGCACAGGCTTGTTCAGTATATGTATGCGTGTCCATCACATACATATGTACAGAGAGAAAATAATAAATAAGATTACCACTTTTCTCCATGGCTCATTTTAGTCCTGTTCCACGGCACCATGGTCTTTCTTTTCACATAGCCCCCACTTCTACAGAAACGCACAGAGCAAACCTCTGTTCAGGCTGATGGCCCCAGAACACTGCAGAGCAATAGCAAAGGCGTGCCCTTGGTGCCCAAGCCCGCATGGAGAAACCCACACGTTCGCACACTGTGAAGTAGTATGTTGCAGTGAGAACGTGGATACATGCCTGGAGTCCTAACAGCTGATCACCGGAGGACTCACTGTCAGAGACAATAACGCGTTCCCCAGGGGTCCCGCTCCTACCCAGGGAGCTGCCAGGCGGAGAGCAGCAAGGGCTCTGGCCCTTAGGCATGTGCCAGCGATTGTGGGAGAGCGCAAAGACAAAATCAGGAGCAGAGACACCAGCTCTGTGCCTTAAAAGGCACAGTTCATGCGGCCCAAGCGCCAGTCGGCGGAAGCGGGAATCCCCCACGAAAACATGCAGGCAGGTAGGCAGAAGCAGGAAGCGCAGCCGGACCCGCGGGAGCCATGCTCACACTTACGCGGTGTGGTCTCACACTACCTTAGTTTGCTTTACGCATTGCCATCATCTGAGAGTTTGGGAGGGAAAAACAGAATGGTTAAAGGTAAAATAAATGAAGAGGTTGCACTTTATTTTTAAAGGTTAAAAACAACAGTCTCATTCCCGACCATCTCGTGGCTCTTGTGCAGACAGACACGCGTGGTGATTGACCCACAGTGATGAAAACACGGTTCTGAGACCACTACAGCTTCAGATCTCGGTTCTGCCACTTGCTAGGTATGTGACTGTGGGCTGTGCCTCAGTTTCCTCATCCGTGAAATGGGCCTGATGGTAGCACTTACCTCATACGATTGTGGTGAGGATGGGGTGAATTATATGCGTGAAGTACTTGGAATAATCCCACTCAACATTAAGCATTATCGAAATATTAGATATTGTTGTTATTTTTATCTTTGGCTTCCTCAGGCAATACCACCCAGACTAGGGATCAAAAATTTACAGAAAGCCAAGGACTCAGAGAGAATTTTAGATGCTCAATAGGAATAATAATAGAAGAAATCAAAACATTCAGGAGAAAAAGGCATAGTTAGAAATGCCTGGATTGAGTGATTGTTTTGTGTGTTGCTATAATTCTTTGAGGACATCATTTCAAATTTCAAAGAAATTCCAGGTAGCTTTTAAAGAAAGATAAATGAAAATCAATTGCACACACATGATCAATTAGAACACTGAGGCCTGGCTCATGGTGGACAATTCTATGCACACATCATCAAGTATACCCTTTGATTGATGGCGTCCTACCAAAAAAACCCTTTTTAAATTGAAGTATAGTTTATATGCATTATTGTATTGGTTTCAGGTGTACAACATAGTGATTCAACAGTAACACACATTATCAGATGCTCACCGTAATATGTGTGGCTGCCGTCACTGTACAAAGGTATTATAATATTGACTATATTGCTTCATGACTTATTTTATAATTGGATGTTTGTCCCTCTTTATCTCCTTTACCTGTTTCACTCATACCCTTTCCCCATGGCAACCACCAGTTTGTTCTCCATGTTTATGAGTCTATTTCTGTTTTGTTTGTCCATTTGTTTTATTTTTTTTTTTAGTTCCACATATAGTGAACTCATATGGTGTTCGCCTTTGTCTGTCTTATTTCACTTAGCATAATATCCTCTAGGTCCATACATCTTGTCACAAATGTAAGATATTATTCTTTTTTATGGCTAATATCCCATTGTATATATGTACCACTTTTTCTCTATTCATTCATCTATTAATGGACATTTAGGTTGCTTCCATATCTTGGCTATTGTAAATAATGCTGCAATAAACATAGGGGTGCATATGTCTTTTTGAATTACTGATTTTTTTTCTTCAGCTATTACCTTTTGGAATTATGGCATCTTGTGTTAAAAATCCTTTTTTTAAATTGAAGTATAGTTAATATGCAACGTATTAGTTTCAGGTGTATAACATAGTAATTCAACAGTTATATACATCACAAAATGCTCACCACAATAAGTGTAGTTACCAACTGTCACCATACAAAGGTATTACAATATTATTGACTGTACTGCCTATTAATATTGACTACATTAATTATATCAATTCATATTGTATCAATTCATTATATCAATATTGACTATATTAATTCCAGAAGTGGAATTAACTGGGTCATGTTATTTCTATTTTTAATTTTTTGAGGAGCCTCCATACTGCTTTCCATAGTGGCTGCACCAATTTGCAATGTCACCAGCAGTGCACAAGAGTCCCTTTTCTGCACATCCTCACTGACACTTGTTATTTCTTATCTTTATGATACTATCTCTTCTGTTTGGTATGAGATTATAGTTCATTGTGGGTTTGATGTGCATTTCCCTGATGATTAGTGATGTTGAGTACCTTTTCAATGTGCTTGCTGGCCATCTGTATGTCTTCTTTGGAAAAATGTCTATTCAGGTCCTCTGTCCATTTTTTTAAATTGGTTTATTTGTGTTGAGTTATACAAGTTCTTTATATATTTTGGATATCAGCCCCTTATTAGACATATCATTTGCAAATATACTGTCCCATATGTCAGGCCCGATGGCATTCTGCATTTTTGAACTGGCTTCCTTTAGTGCCTCACACTGAAAACTGCTTAGAAGTGCCGGGTAAGGACAAGGATGGGTCTTGAGTACCAAGCAGTTTCCTGAGTCATGAAGGAGCACAGACTTCTTCTCTCCATTCTTTCCCAGGACCATCCATGAGCTTTAACCTCACCTGGCAGGATATTGTGGTCAAGCAGGAAAGAACAGCACTTGGCCCTCTCCTGGCATCTCTCCTTTGCTTGTTACCGGACTCTGTCACTTATTCATTGTGGCAGAGTGTGTTCCCAGGATGGAAGTGCTAGTCCTCTCCTCTGTCACTCTATTTCCTCACACCCTTTCTCACTTTCTCAAGGCACAGAGAATTGTGTGGCTCTCTTTGGGGTGTGAGCATTGGGTAAAGTGATGTGATTGTTAAAGATGGGAAGCTGTACACTAAAAGCATTATTTCCAGTGAAAAACTGAAAGCCAACACTGGCAGTCCTCAGCTGGTAGAGGACAGAAGAAAAGGACAAGGAACTTGACAGAGTCTGGTTGGTAGCCTAGCCTACCTGACCTCTTCTGAGTCAGAGGCTGCTTCTGCAGAGCACACTTGCCCTCCGAAGCACAGACACCATGGTGGTGGTAAATTTCCCAGCTACATGCATTTCCCTGCCAAGAAGGGTGTGTGCTTGTGTGTCCATCTGAGGTGCCCAGCCACAGAGTATGGTGCGCTGGGGAGGCCTCTGCTCCAAGCTGAGTTTTAACCTGGATGAAATCCACAGGGGTAAAGGTACCCCTGCATTGAGTTCTCTAGCTGCCAGTTGGGCTGCAGGCTCCTAAAAGCTGAGTTTGGGTTTTTCTTTCTCGGGAAGCCTCTCACAATGTCAAGTACACCAAGCACAACATGCCCCCTTCTGCAGGAGTGGTTTGGGCTACCAGTGGTTGCATCTTCATTTGTCTGGCTGTTTAAAGACATAGGCTTAGGTCTTTCCCAATCACAGGTATTGTTTCAAGGACACAGATTACAGCGCTTGGACTCAGGAACACAGAGAAAACCCTTGATCTGTTCCACACATTTTTGAAGGGATGCTTTTTATGTCATCAGAATGTTGCTCAGGCCAAAGTACAAATGGGAGAAAGGGGCGGAAGCAAAGGGATTTCCAACCAGAAAAAGGAGATCTAATGAGATAAGGTTTGCATAAACAGAGAAATTTAAACAGAATTACCAAACAATTAGCCAATATAACCAGGATGGAAAATACAAGATGATTTCAAAGGGAATCATTACAAATGAGTTATTCTTTCGCTTTGGAGGGCTTTCATTTCACACCATCCAGAAAGTCCTTACCTTAACAGAAGAAAGGCAGTCACACTTTTCCTGTTGATAGGACAGGCAATGCTCCATCTCCTGGAGGGTTGATATGCCCATCAGGCCACAGGGCAGTAGCTGGAGGGCTGGAGCCCTCGATGGCAGCAGAGATGCCTATGGCACCAGCACCCTGCCCAGTGTGAGCCTCAGGAAAGAGTCCCTGGGCAGTGGTTCTGTTCTGAGTCCCAGCGCCCAGGCCTCTCCCAGGTCCCAGGTGTAAGCTGTCAGGCTAAATTTCAGCAGGTAACCCATGTAGGAAAAAAGCCCAAAGAATGGGTTCTGCTCCTAGACAAGGGGCTGATGGCCTGAGTAATCTTTGGAGTATTGTGATGTTCCATGCTGTGTTTGCTACATAGTCAGGTCTGAAGGTAAACCTCTCCTGGGGTCCCTTTGAGCCCTGAGTATCATTCCACAAACCGTATGGGTCACGTCCCAGTTGAGGCTGAGGCAATGGGACATACCTCATGCGCATCTTGCCATAGGATGGAGAAGATTCCTCAGACAAAAGGAACGGCATCACCCCTACCAAAAGGCAGCTGCGGTGTGGTGCTTCCATGCACATGCTCTTCTCTTTGCTATAGACACGGACAGGTCTTTCCCATCACTGCTTGTACTGGGCACATGTAACCGTTCAGAGGGCTCACTGAGTACATGAGTTCTTCTCACAGTGGTAGATCCACTAATGGGCTGAGTTTACACTTGTTAAAGAATTTTATCTTTATCTCCAATACTCAAAATATAGAAATGGACATAGCCTTTATGTTTCCATTGATTTATTGACACTTGAGTGAAAAACTTTACAAAACCACCCAAATGTCCCTCTAAGTAAGTATTCTTTTTGGATCTGGGTGATTTGCACCAAGCCCTGGGAGTCTGGGTTCTATAGTTCAATTTTTTGCTTCCTAGGTGGTAGTAGATAATAGACAGAATGCTGAGTGCTGACTGATTTTTTTCCTCAAATGCATCACCTCCTGGGCCTTTGGTGCTCAGTGGTGGAGGATAGCCAAGACGGCGTGGTAATTTATTGTTAGAATCAAAGAAATCTAGACTGGATGTGACCTTGGTAGTTAATTACTCAGCCCACTCCTTTATAAGGAAAGGCAGGCTGAGAGTCACAGCCTGTTAGAGAGGGTCAGGGTAGGGGTAGATGGCTGACTTGTGATCCAGGACTACCCCTCCATGCTGCTCTCCACTGCTGACAGAACAACAGTTTGCTAAGCAATGACATCCATGTGGAAACAATATGAATAATATGCCCAGCCTGCCCCCTGAGTTTAGAAAGGTTTAATCTCTTCATAAGGGACCTAAGGGCAAAGTTAGGAAACTGCTTGAACTCCTCCACTAAGATAAAAATCAAATGTTGTGTCTGATCTGTCTCCAGGTCACTTACCTAAATTTGAATAGACTATGGACCCCTTTAAAGGAAAATAATCTTCCAAGACCTATGACACATTTTCTTAACCAGCACTTGAAAACATTTATTTAGGAAAGCTAACATCTCCCTCTATGCATGGGATTTCAACTGAGAATTCTCACAGAAAGAAGATGATGTTTATTTTTATACTTGGGCAAATGAAAGCACAAAACTTAAATGCCCGAATTAACCCCCAAGACGCC